GTTTGTAGAAGGAGTTAAAAGAAGAGCAGAGAGCGGGCTTTTGATAAACAGAAGGCAAAGAGAACATGCGAAGTGTCCAAAGGAGAAAGGGCAGGATGTCCTGATTCCCAAGCAGGCTCAAGTTATTATCACTACAAATGTCTTAGTTAGCACGAACCAGCTCATACTCCATTCCTTGTTACATGAGCAGTAAACACCACATCTACATGCCGACCTGTCTGTGGACTGACAGGTACCCTGTGACAACGGGCTCTAAGACAGTTCCAACATACGATTTCAGTCTGTCTGTGAAGTCCTACCAACACCAACACTACCATGAAGCCACATTCACCTTTTTTTCTCTGTCATTTAAACACATGCTGTATGTCCACCAAGATGTAGATACATAAACAATTATGTGCATGAGAACAGGTATATATATACACCTAATTAATATCTGCATGAATGTATCATATACGCATCCTCTCATGCTTTCTTGAACATCAGCTTTCCGAAAGTGATTACGGTCAACTTTTTCACTGCACTTTTACCTACATGGGGTGGTATTTCTGAATCAGATGATGAGAAAAGGGCATTTTGGAAATGATACTGCAACAAATCATGTTCTTGTTCAGTATTAGAATGTTAAACTATACCCCTGAGAGCTGCTTGGGAAAGGAAAGCTTAAATATTGTCTCCCACAAAGAGTATGCCGGAACAATAATGTTTCATAAAACATTAACATTAATACTAAAATATTCAAAACATCATTGGATTTGCTCCATCAAAATCATGTCCTTTTTTTTTTTTTTAAATACTGGCACCAGTGGCAGTATCAATTTCTAAATATTCCCTTTCTTGAGCACTGTCACCGCTAGCAAAACAGGGACACAGTCGAAGACAAGCAGACTTATTTTACTAAATAATGTAACTAGTTATTTTTGATGTATTAGTCTGATTTACTGTTTCCAAACAAATTTTTCATTTTAAGTGCAAAAAGTTGATTTCTATGGTCTGGCTGATGTTTTTTCATGCATGCAAATTTTCTAGAGAACATTTTGTCTTTAGCTTCCTGTTATGCACATTTTTAAGAGCTTAATGTTTCCTGCCTCCACTTAATATGAAAGAACACTGCACATTTTTGCTGAATGTCAATGAGATAGTTACATTATAGAAATCGTGCCTAAACGACTGATACTGTGACTAAGTATCAGCAGAATTCCACCCCGTACTGGAAAAGCGTTTCATTAATATAATGCAATCAATGTAAAACGGAACCTCCCCCAAAGAGGTGGGTGTACCCCAAATACAATGCAAATCATAGGAAACTCAACCACCAGTAAATACTGAATTAAGCATGGCTCCCTCAAAGATCAAGAAAATAAAATAATCAAGTCTTGCAGAGGCTTCATAAATATATCTACGATTTATTTAGGTCAGTTAATAGGGGTTTTGTCTCATCAGGCAGAAGACGAAGCAGCATCAGCCTCTCCCTAAGCACCTTCAGCATTTTACTAACGAAGTTACAGTACATCGGAATATTTTAATCTGACACAAAGAACAACAATAGATCCAACTGCTGGGCTGATAATCTTCTTATCACACCCTGTGAAACCTAGCTCTAATATTTGACTGAGCCTCCATTACTCGGCAACACATTCTAAAAAGGCCAACAATGGAGAGAGAATGAAGTGGAGTGTGGAAGTACCTCCATATCTACATAAAAGAGATTAGAGGCGACAGCGTTCCATTTTACAGCTCAATCATATTGTGTTAGCATGCGTTTATCCGAGCGCGGATGAAATTGAAAGAGAAATAAAAAAGAGTCAGGCAGATAGGAACCAGAAAAGCGAGGCATGAGCAATTTCCAAGGATATAAAAGGATGCTAATGGCGGGGCCCTGTCATTCTTAAAAAGGGCTATTAGGGCACCATCATCTGTTCTTGTGCCCTTACACTCCTCTAACTAAAGTCAAGCATTTCCTAATGCCATTGTGATCTTTTTCTTCTTCAGATAAGACATGGTCATGTTTCATAACAACACACTTTCCATTTATTTGATTTATAAATGCAAGGAGACTAATTCTATTTACTGATAAAGGCTTTCCATATATATTTTTCTTTCAGTATTTCCTTTTGTAGATGGCATAGACTTTTTGTTCAATGAAAGCAACTATTGAAATGTTTCCAATAGCACAAAACCACTAATGATTTTACGAAAGCATTTGAAGTTTGTATACTTTTAAAACATTTTTTAGCCCATGACTACAATGGGAAACAGTTGGCCTGGGCAGAATGCATATTGCGTTGTTACATCCTTCTAGATAATCTCATTAAAAGACTTTCGGTTAGACTAGCAAAACATTGTTTTGGTTTCTTCCACAAAGCAAATTTTACTTTGAGTTACAATGCTTTACAGCTGAGGTCTTTATTAGTTATTAAGCACCTGATATGTAAGGGCCTTTAATTATACTGAACCTTAAGAAATCACTATAGTAAAGAAAGATTTGCTGATTGCTGCTTTGCTGTGCTAGGCACAAATTCACTACTGGTATAATTAATTGGTTCCAAGAGATTTACACCCAGGATTTACTTAGTCCGCTAAACTACAGCAAACTTTTCATGCAATTTGCACTCTTTTTCTAACTCATCCTTTTTCCAATCCTGTTATGTCTCTGCCTACAGTAACATTTGCTAGCTTAGAAAACAGCCTGCACCAATCCAGGCTCTTCTACAAGTTGTTTCGTGTCGGACACTGGCTGAGCGTAGACAGCCCAAGTTCAGCTGTACTCCATCATTCAAACCAAGCTACAAAAGCTCATCACATTTGCCCTTTAGCATGTCAAGCCTTTTTGCATTTTGATTTTTGTGATAAATGCCAGACAACAAGCACATATTTTATCACTGACCCCCGTTACCAGAGGCTTATGAAAAGATTGTCTTTAGGGTTTTTTTTCCCCTCCTTCTCATACTTAAACAGAGTCAAGTGAGCAAATGTAGCTAGTACGGCTTTCCCACAGCAGGTGTGTTTTTGAGTTTACCTTGTAATGAAGGCTGACTCATGGCAGAAATGTTCAACTGGTTCAGATCATGCACTTTTCAAGGCCAGTTTACAGCACCCGGTACCTTTTCCACGCTAGCCCAAACCACTGTTTTAAGGCCTGCTCAGTCTCATCCCTTTGCTATTCTTTCCAGGCAAATCAAAGCTATGCAACATATTCAGAAATCAAACCGACGAAAGTTACCCTGCAACCACTGTGGAACATGGCTGACTTCTTTCCGAGCTATTTTGGTTAAGGTGATCTAAGTATCTTCCAAAGAAGAAACAAACTCACTTATTTAACTCATTTTGACTTAATTTGGGGGGCTTTATTAGCAACCAGTGTAAGACAAAGTAGCTAGTATAATATAGAGTGATGTTTAAATTAGTTTACAATTTGCTTGGGCTCATCTAGAACTGCTCTGAACAAAGCCATTCAGAAATGTCAGCTGTGTTCCTAACCACTGTAACAAATTGTTGCCTGAACGCTGCACACCTAATGACTTCAAATTAGCTTCACTGCGATATTGCCTGACAGTTCGTTACGACTGTTAGCAACATAGCTGGCGTATCATGACCAATAAATTGGTTTCAGTGTGGGCTGGGAAAGGGACTTCCATCAATTTGATTAAAGAAATTACTGTAGCATTCAAAGCATAAAGACAAACTAGTTTAAGGAGACAGAAATAAGTTAACTGTACCAGAAAAACATTGCTTGTGATACAAAAGCTTGTTTATACACCATTTGTGGCACAGAGAATGACTAAATTTCAACTGTGTCACATACTGACTATTTTAAGGGTCTGCAGGTTGTTGTCGCTCATCTAAAGTACAATAACATTCCATAAATGTACAAAGTATTTTCTTATTATTCTTCATTAGTATTTATATTGATCGAAGATGATCCAGAAGCACCTACCAGAAGAACTGAGGCCTTGTGATGCTTAGTACAGTGGAAAAAAAAAAAAACCAGGAAGACTATTTCTTTGCAATTTCTTTTGGTACTAGAAATAAAATACATTTAACTTCGAGAAACAAACTGACTGGATTATTTATTCTATTATTAGGGTATCCCAAAATCACATCTAAAATCAGGATGACACATTACTCAGAGAAATCAAAGGGTTTCTTATGTTCAATAAGGCTCTACTATCAAAATTTAAAAACTCACAAGCGGATGAGAACACCAACAGGCTCACTCATCTGCTGGATTTAAGACACAAGAAAAGAAAGTCAAGCTTTTTTTTTTTTTTTGCATGACTACCATTTCTGAAAGATGACAGACTGAGAACCCCGGAGACTGACTATGAGCCTGTCTGCTAGCGCATAACGCAAGCACAAACACCTCATCAATGGGGGGAAATAAAACACATTTACATGATGCAGACTGAGGCTCGCTTCATGCAGACCAAAGAATTACTAAGCTGTAAGAAGAGACCTTTTGGTACAATTCAGTTCTTTTTACAGAACTGCTGGTACAGTTCAGTTCCTACAATAGTTCATTCAATGAAGAGTACAATTCATCTGTGCCATGCCAAAATCTAACTGAATTTTTGCACCTCCTGTGGTCAGTATAAGGTAGAGCTGCCTTTATGGAATAGAGGAACCAGACTTATATTCAACTACTGCTAAGTCAGATGAGTACAGAAGAGAGAACTTAGAGTAAGTACCCTTCGTACCAGGCTAGTGCTCTGGACAGCAAGGCAAGTTTATCTTAATAAAAGCAACATGTGACAAAATTCATTCAGTGAGCAGCAGAAAAACTTATTAACATAGTAACACTCATAACAACAATAATACCATTTCCAAGGCAAGATATATTACCATCTAACCTATGTCCTACCTGAATAATCTGGAGTCTTAAGAAAACTTTATGCATTGTAGTAAGAGAAAAAAAAACCACATTTTTTTACCAGAACAGAATAATCCTCGTGATGATTTCTGCACGCCACCTATTTGCAGTAAATAAATACCGTATGTACCTGGAATATGCTTAGCCCATCCAATGATCACCACCAGTTCTCTGTCTGCCAGGTCACAAAGAGTGGTAAGCGCTTTGATGTCACTGTCTGGAACAGTGGGGTCAGGCATAGCATAGATCTTCTCTGGCTCAGCCACCAGCAAGTGGGAGACAATCTTGTTATCTGTAAAAACGGTCCAGAACAGCACAGTATCACCAGTAGCATCACTCTACTTTTCACACAGACGGCTCGTATTTCAAACTGCACAAGAATTTGTCTTAAGATACCAGACCTAATTAAACCTTACTGTAACATCACCGGCTCCTACAAGTGATTACAGCACAAACAAATCTGATCCATTAACAACGTTTATCAAGCAAAGCATGTATGTTCTTCACAAAGTAAGTTCAACAGAATGTAGAAATACGTGATTGCCTCATAATATTGGAACACAAACTTCGTAGAAAAATTCCATGCATTACAGTGTATTTTGGACTATGCAAATAAAAAGGTTTTGCCTCCCTCTACTTACCTGCAACCCTTCCCAAAGGTAGGTGTATTTTTCAGGGAGTAAATACCACAAGCAATAGGTCAGTCACTGAAAACTGTAATTTCTGTCCACAGTCCAAATACCATTCTTTGTTTTAGATGTCACTGTCAAACTGCTGCAACAGAAATGGTCTTAGGACTTTCTCAGTGCTCATTATCCCATACATCTTATATTTTGGCTATCCTGCCTGCTTCTTAAAATGTTAAGAATGAATCTGTACTCCGCGGGGTCTATGCTGTGAGAAAAGCAGGGGTGTTGTCATATATTTGTTTTTCAGTGAAACACACAAATTTAGAATCATGTATAAAATTAACTTCATCAAGTACAAAAGAGGCAGTTAGGAACAGCTATTAAAATCAATGAGAATAAAGAGCATGAAACTAAAGAAAGTATCAATAGATGCAGACCCTGCCTCTGAAAACTGGTTTTGTGCAGAGAATGATATTTTATCATATTCACAGACTGGTTATTTTAAGCTATATATCATGTTCATTCATGTGTTTAATATTTACTTTTTCTTCCAGATGAATTGTTAAATCTATTTGGAATAATCATTTAAGTTACAAAGAAAAGTGGGGAAAAAAAAAAAGAAGAGTAGTAGAGCCTGGAAGATTTACAAAACAGATTTGCTATTCTATATTCTTTAAGTAGGATGAACATAAAATAAGCATTATTTCCATGTGGAGGCACAATGGAAACATACAGGAAACTGATTTGTTACTCTGAGAGGGCAGAACTGAAAAATGGGAAAAGGACTGATTCATTAAGCCTCATTACATTACTATACTTCCCAATATATTTTCCAATATATTTATATTTTACCTCCCATGATAGGTACATCTTGTGACCTCATATGCATCACCAGAATTTAAAGCCCAAATATCATCCTTTAGTGAATTTACACTAATCCGTTCCCTTCCTTAGGATAAAGAGTCACAGGATTTGACATAAATGGGATTTCCCTGTGAGAAGATGCAAAGTATTTTCTAACTGCAGAGAAAGCTGACAGAATTAGTATAATTTTCTCCTTCTATATGTAAGTCACAGGATGGACCACACTGTGCAATGGAAGCTGACAGGGATATGACTTGCCCAGGAGTGTCAGAGAGGCTTGCTACCAGCCCATGACAGATTTCCATAAAATACTCACTAGATTTAGATTTCTGATACTTTACTGCTCTTTTGTGACACAGACCCCTTGATTCTGATCTACTGTCTCTAAAATTTTTGCCTTATTTCAAATTTGTGTGTCAGAAGTTGTGATATATGCTAGCCCTTCATAAAATAAGTGCAAGAGCCAACTGGAAACCATCACATCAAGCATGTTATATTACAAGGGGATATATTCATGCTTTATATGAACTACAGGAACCATGCCAACTGCATAATTCTTGATCTCAATATTCTACTGATTATCAAACCGATTAATGAGGAATTCTATTCTTATTTAAAGATGACACATGGTAGTTTTAACTTATATTGGCAAACAGCCTTTGCACATAATTTCTTTTATTTTTCAGTCCTTTCATACCCTGTTTAATTTCACACGGAAAACATCTTTTTAAGTGAGAAAATATAACATTGCTTCTTCCCAAATTCCAATGTATTTCCATGATTGAAAGTTAGGAAAAATACATTAGAGTTTCTTAATATCAAAACACATGTAGCTGAGAACTTCAACTTTGTGGGTTTTTAACCAGTGATAACTGAGTGAGGCAGCACTCACATCCCCAAGTTCTGGCTTTTTTTCCCTGAAAACAGAAAAAAATGGTGAAAGAAACTCTTTTTTTTAATTAGGTTCCTCACCAATGGCTTTCTGTAGATGACTCAGGAATATTGTGTATTTTGACCAAGGATTCACAAAATCTCAAATTCTTTTTATTTTCTTTTGCTATCAACAAGATCTACTGGCAGGCCATGAGATTCCATAGTGAAGTTGGAAAATACAATAATGACCAGAAGTAAGTGTAGGAAAGATCCTCCAAATTTTTTTTATAGTGGGAAAAAGCTGCCTGTACTGGAGTGTGCATTAGTAAAGACCATAGGAAAATTTTGAATGTACATGGGAAAACTCCATCTGTCAGGAAATTGAATTGCCATAAGCACTGTTTCTAGGTAAATCTTATGTAATGTTTCCCTAATTAGAATCAATAGAACCCAATTTCCATTTCTGTGCCTTTGTTATGTGCAAACTATCAGACAGGGTCCAGAAAATCTCCCAGGCTACTTCCACACAAAAACGATTCAACTGTTTCAAGTCTTGACACTTATCTGACAGGATTTGAAAATTAAGTTTTACAAATGTTTGTTACAAAAATGTTTGTAATTGGGCAAGCTAAGAAAAATGAAGGGAGGCACTTAGATAATGAGCAATGATTTACAAGGATGTTAGTTTATCTCAGACAAGTGAGGCTTACAGAAATTGGTGTAGTTATCGTCTTAAAGGTAATGTAATGCACTACTTTGCAGTAATCTTGGGTTTACACAAAGATCCTTGTGTTCCAGTACAACAGCATTAACCTCTGTTCATCTTAAAGGGCTTGGGGTTTTTAGGTTTGTTTTGGGGTTTTTTTTGCCTCTTTGGTCTTGGCTATCAACGTTTCTACTCAATGACAATATCAAGCAAATGAAAAACTGACAATCTGTGCACCCAGGAAAACTAAACCTCTAATGAAATTAAGCATTAGAGTTTATTAAATTTTATTGTATTATCAGAAAGTTTTTATTATAATGTGCAAAATCTGCTTAGTGCAGCCCTAGATTGTATTTACAGAACGGTGGGACAGCTTATGGAGGCTGAGTAGAAGATGCCAGATTGGACAATTGAAGGAATATAATCAGCATAATGTTTTTTGGAAAGGCAAAAGGAAACTATGCCATATGTTCACTTAAGCCTTAATTTTATGTAAAACTGGCTGTTTTTTCTTTGACACAGCTAAAATGCCCTTCCACTTACAGTTCAAAGACTGTTTATTTGCTCTCCAGATCCCCATATGCTCAAACGTATTTTACACAGCACCGTCCCCTACTGAGGAACACAAATGGAAACAAATTCCATTTTCCATACAGCCAGGTAATTTCAAGAGCCTAAAACTGAGTGTGTGTGTAGTCAGAGGCATAGGGACAGAGGCAAATGGGAGACAAGGAGGAGTCTGACCTCCTTATTTCTCCAACTTACTTCTCTGTTTTAGGAGCAAATTAACCATCTCAGCAGGAGCAACTGGACATGTGTGTTCTCATTTGAGTTTGGAAGAGTTTACAACACTTGATACGGCATGTGTGCCTTTGCAGGGGAATAACACTAGCCTCTTGCACTACAGCTATAATGCTATTAAATTTACTTCATGGAATTAGTACAGGCGCTGCTTGAGTTTATATAAGCTGCAAAGCAAAACCCCTAACTATTTTTAGTTAATCGCAAAGAGGATGGAACTTGTATTTTAGCAATGAGATGATCAGCTCTCTCTCTCTTTTAATTTCAGCCTGGTGAGATACAATCAAGGACATTATTAAAACATAACAAAACAAAGCCAAAAAAATCCATAACGGTACTAGAGCCCAAACTACCAATCTATGCTTGTTATTAGTGTGGCATATTGCTGTTTTAATCTAATGCTAGGTAGTGTATTAATCTATAGGTATAAATTAATGAGGCTCTTAATGTATTTTCATTGGGAGGTTGAGCAGTCAAACTCATTTAGTTAGTGGAAACTACAAAAATCACTTTCTTGTGAAATCTGAAACTAGAAGCTTCAATGAACTAATGATCACAGTATGAACCATTTTATGTACCACTGAAAATAAAGATAACCTATAAATGTAAAATTTGCACTGCATAAACCATGCTTTTATACACTTGCACCTGTAAAAATACTCTTTGTTCAACTCCACTTGAGAAAGATGTGCATATTTAAAACAAAGTAGGTTAACAGCTAAGTTGCATAGCGCTCATGGTAATAACTTCTGACCAAACCCTTGTCCCAGTCAGGGCTAGGAGTCAACACCCTGTATTCAAAGAGAAATTTTATATATCTGGTGTACTCACATGGCTTTTTTGCTGGCTGAACTAGCTGAGGGTTCAGGTATGGGCTATTCTCTGCATCTATTCTGCGCTTGTACTTCTGGCGACCTCCACGTACTCTGTCTAGGCGGACACCTACGTTGGGAAAAATAAGCAAACACGTAATTAAATATCATAAGGATTTTTCTCAGGTAACAATCTTCATCTCCTGCCTTCCAATATTTATTTAAAATGCATGTTTATTTCAAAAGATTAATTTTAGAAAGCAAGGGAAAGCAGCACTATAAGGATTTGCAAACTGTTAAGATTTTCACGCATACAAGACTAAATATACAACATAATTTCCTGTTCATTTAAAACCACTTGTTGATTTTTATATGTTACTAAAAGCAGCTAACAAGTTCGGTTCCCATTGGAAAGAGTCTGATCTTAAGTCATCTTTGCCAGAAGCACAAATTCAAAGCTGGAATAAACACCATGGATATACAAGGCTAACATTATGAGTAGAGAAATACAGAGAACTAGAACTTTAGAAACAATGGGTGCTGTATACAGTTGAGATAGGCAAAACCAATGCTTTTAATTAACATGGATTAACACGGCCAGAGATACAAAGTAAGTACCATCAGTATAATAAGAATATCTATGTGGCTTGAAGACCTAAAATGGTTTGTGAGCTCTTAAAAAAAAATTGTATGGGTGTTGGTTAGATGTCATCAATGATGAATTAACACTGTGTTCTACCTCTAAATTAGCAGAATGAACAACTCTTTTGTACAGATATATAGAAGTTCACCACCTGATGCAAGGCATAGCTGCTCTCATAGACAAAATGAAAAAGGGAAGAAAAAAAAAAAAGATGGTATGTCCTATAAAACAATTAAGTATTTTTATTTCCTTCCGTGTCATCCAGGCAGACTTCCAGACAAGCACGACAAATGTCAGCATGACCAAGTAGTAACGTAACACCAACGCTGAAAAACAGCGCATATGCAGGGTAACAGGACAAGTAATACCAAGTGCAAAATCTGCCCCTGATATCATGGATTTCACTAGGCAAGAATGCAAGGACACATTATGGTACCAGTGATCCTGGGGAGCAATGCAATAAAGTGCAGCACACTTTCTCAATTCTCATTGTCTATTTTAGACCTCCTCCCCTTGTTTATCTTTTCTATTGCCATTACTGTACCCTACTCTACTACTCCAGATCTCCCTGTTCTCTCTCTTGCAGGAAATACCTCCAGAACCAGCTGCTAGAGTACAGAGAAGCCACCACCAAAGAGGTTATAGTTTATGCACATGGCAAGAAAAATACAGCACAAAGCTTATGTGCTGCCCATGACCCTGCACTGGGGTAGCACAGTCTCCTTACCACGAAACATCTCAGTCCCCTTTTATCCTCAAAAACTGAAGAGGATTGACTGGGTTTTGGTGAAGAAAAGCCATTTTGCCAAACAGCCAGAAATCCAAGGCCAACTCTTTTTGGTTTGGTTTTGTTTCTTCTTTTGTATTTCTTGCTCTCTCCGTCTCCTACTCTCTGAGCTGGCATGAAACTAACACACCAGAACACTCACTAGCTGACCCAAGGAAGACAGCAGTTTACAGATCCAGCTCCATGCTCCTATACCAGCAGAAAAGGCTTTGTTTGCATTGGGTTCTCATTCACCCAAATGGACTGGTGGTATCTATAAAGGTTAATTACAAAGAAGACACGGCTCAAGGTCAAAACCAATGTCTGTAACTACAATCCAGTGAATTGTATACTAAAATGCTCTATTGGTTTTGCCTACCAGGAAGTGGGTATTGGTTACCTGTATTTAATAGTGGAATTGCATTCAGTTTAGTGCAGAAGACCAAGTATTTCACTCCCTCAAACTCAAGAAGTATGTTTCTCACTGTATGTTACCAATTACGTTTTTGTAAACCACACTTACGTAAACAATAAAACCAATCAACCACATACCAAAACAGGTCAATGTATAATTATGAATGAAATCTTTATGGTATTTACCTATTTCACTACCAAATTTGTTTCCTACTTGTGGTCTAAGATCCCTTATAAAATTCATGATGCTTCCATCAAAAAAGAATGGTTATTTTTTGTTGTTTTTTAAGGATATACTTAGAAATGCATTAACTACAACAACACTTCAAAAATTGAGCCAAAAGCCTTTCAGAGCTAATGATAACCCAGTGTTCCCCATCCTTGAATCAGGAATTTGAGTTACACCTGAAGTAAATGATATCCCAGACAATACCCTGCCATAAAAACAAAGAGAAAACCAAGTTTTGATAGTTGAATATTCAGAAATAGGCAAAGGATTATAACAAGCCACATGTGATATTGGTGGGATTATGAAAAAGGCTGCCCAGCATTTGAAGAAAAATAGATAGAAAATGATTTCTGCATAATTCAGATGCCATCCTTCTTTCTGCTTGGGAGCAGATTTCATAGTGATAAAAGATGGATAGCATCAGATAGAAGTATGTTTAATCAAAAAGTAATGGAACTGAAGCTTAAATTAAAATAATATAAATCTACCAAGATGAACAATTTTTTTTACCTCCTTTGCATTTGCTGAGATACACATTCAAGCCATTCACGTACTCAATGGAAGGAAATACAGATGAATGTTGCAATAGCAAAATTACACATAGATCCATGTACTCACCTATTATACACAGCTATACTTATAAATATAGCTACTTCCTTTTTTAGAAAGAAAAAATATAATTCTTAATAACTGGGGACTAACACTATTATACATACTAAATTACTGAAGTCTGTAATATAACTAATTCCAATTGTGATGTGAAAACATTTTTGATAATGTAATACCAACAGAATAGAAATTAGAGGTTTATAACCCTTTCATTAGAACTGATATGGAGTTTACCATCATTTTAGTTCCTAAGCTTTTCTTGCTCCTAGTGCCATTATAAAGTAGTTATCTTTGAGTCAATTTCCGATAACCTAACACACCCTAAGTGGTATTTTACTTCCCAAGAGTCTTTATAGAATTACACACAATGCAAGACACCACTTAAGAAAGTATACCCATCTGATATTCCATAAAAACTTGTTGGAGTATAGCGGGTAGCAAACTGGAACCCAGAGGTTCCTCTGTATATGCACGCATTTCCCTCTGTAAACCCTATGGCTTCTATGAGATAATTTATTACATAAAAATAAATGTATCTGCTCTCAAGACAGTTAACAGCTGATGCCTTCTTTGTTAGAAAAACAAAGGCAAGAAAGAAAAACATTTTCATCCACAAAGATCTTCATTTGGGGTGGGAGGGGCTTAACATCTTGATCACAGAGGCATTTGCTATAATTCAACACCTACCCTGCACTCAGGCTACGAAAGATTGTATTGTGGCATCTAGCGAGTGTACAGAGAGAAGGTTAGACCTCTGCTTTAGCTCTGCTGTGCCTGTGGCTTGACAGAGTCTTCAGCAGCTCTGTTCACCCACCTTATCAGTCCTCAACCACTAAGTGACATGAAGAATATACACCTCACCTATATAAACTCATAACACATATCCAAAAAATTGTACTGTACACATCATCACTACAGTTTTTTAGGGTCATCCATTAATTTCACTGAACAAAGTTCCACTGAAGACAGGCAAGTTGATTCTCTGTATTCTCCAACACTTAGTTTCATTTTAAAATTCTTCTACAGGAAAACAAACCCAAAAGCCGTAACGAGAAAAAGATGAATGACGACAGGGCGTCTTAACTTGGTACAAATAGAAACAACAGGGCTGCTACCAGTTGTGGTATTTCAACAAGTCAAGTGCAATACATTCACTTTAAACCTTAGGATGAGTGCAACTCACGAGCCCACGTGTTCAGGAGTGATGGGTAGTCACAGATTTTAACATAATTTACAAAGCTCAGAAGATGAGGATTAGACTAGAACCCTAATATATGGAGAGATGGAAACTATGTAAAAATCAATGCAGTAGCTACTTTTTTTTAAAGAAGGCGATTAAACATTCATTATTATTACTAATACAACATAAGAATTTCTCCAGCTGGCCTTGAAGAAAAAAAAAGTGGCCTCATATTTCCTATACACGCTTTCACAAAAAGGTTCACTTCCTGGTTTCTCACACAGTCTTTCCAGGACTTTCTATCAAATGGTTACCAACACGCAACAAAACAATATTGGGCACTTCATCTGAAATCCAAGTGTCCACAGTCTTGCACAGAAATCACTGAAGAGCTGATGTACAAAATCAGCTACCCAACACATACTTCAACCTAAACAGAGTTAACACAGACAAACCTGAATTCCTCATGATCTCTCTATTTCCTCATCTGTTCGTCACCAAGAGACACAAATTATTATTCCTATTCTGTAGTCGTTTTCTCAAACTGCCTTGAAGCCCCTTGCATGAGATAGGAACCCACTGTGACTGGAGGTATATATTATAAAAGACTGCCCTTACCCCTGTGTATCATTTTTCTTGTGATTCAGGTCCTCAGTATGATAATCATATTGAAGTGTCATCTCTTTTTCCATACAGATCCAAGCCATATCCCAAAGTATACCATTTACTCCTTCATAATCCACCTCTCTTCCTGTTATTCATCCCCTCCTTCTTACTTTGGCTACAAGTCTCTGGTGTTCATTTGTCCACTTGTCCCACAAACATTCTTGTTCTTTCCATGGGGCTCTATACCCACTAAAAAGCCACAGGCTTACCTGGAAGGCATTTGCCCAATCCTTCTAATCAAGACCTACCAATACCAGCACTGCCTATAAAAACTTGCTTATTACATAAAACTGGGGATAGATTTTTGTTTTGAAAAAAATAAATCTAATTCACTTATATAAGCATTAATATCTGCATAAATAAAACTCCCTTTCTACCTTCCATTATATCAGCAAAATACAGGTTTCAGATCAGAATCAAACCCACAATTTTGACTTCCTACAGAAATTTCAAGCTCTCCTCCCTTTCTGTCCCCCCTACATGAGAAATTTATGGCAAGCAGACACAGTCTACACTGACGCTGTTGTGGCAAGCTTCATCTCTACACAGCACTCTATAAGATACTAAATATATCCTTATCTCAGTTTTTGAGATTTGTAACTGGGTGATGATCCTTTTTCTACAAAT